GTCCCTATTCCAGTTATTTCCCAGACAGACCAATTCTTGAGTGGCTATAGGAAATGAGCATCCATCTGGTGTCTGAACCCATAACCTATGCATTTTTCTCTTCCTCTTTCCCCACCTTCACTTTCTCTACTTTTGTTCTAAGCATGAGAGTGGCCCATCATGCCGCCATTGCTTATAGGATGACTTACCATACGGCGATGCTGCCAGTGCAGAGATAAAAAACCATCACCAAGAAAATCACATGATCTGAGACTCCATCTTCCACATTGAGATCTAGTCTGAAGCTAATTGAGTCTTGTAAATAACTCTTTTTGTACACAATTTTTTTTTTATCATGTGAATTGTGGTGAAATAGTGAATCTGGAAAACCTCCTAAAGCTAACTCATCTGATTAACCCTAGTCACTAATTAAAATGCAGAAATATTAATAATGGGCCATGGTCTTAACTCTGCTCACCCCATGTCAAAACAGCACTTGGTATTCTTTGAATATACATAGTAGAGAGGCAAAGGAGTTGATCACCAAAGTGATATAATTAAAGATGGCCTTCTTGGAAATAGCTCCTCCACCTTCCCTACACTGTTAATTACAGGTATGTGGGTTAAAGCTTCATATCTCCAAATGGCCTCCACTAAGAGGAAAATGCATAACCCAGAAAAAAAGCAATTAAGATGGCCACTCCTGGGAATGTATTTCAGTGATTAGATGATCAAATTAGTCTGCCACTATGTCATGAGTTACTACCTGAGGGTGTGATAATACATACAACATTTTCCAAGAGATAGGAAGTTCAGCAACCTGAAATAAAATGTAGGAAGCTGCAGTGTGAAAAGGATTAAGGCCCAAGGGGACATAGGTCTGTGATAAAGGAGGTGAGGTAAAAGTCTTGTTTTCTAGGATCTGGAAATATGAGACTCCGTCATTGAACTCCATAATTCCAGTTTACTGTGCAGAGAGAATGTTTGATGATGATAAGATGGCTTAGAAATGGAAAATAAGAGACCGGAAGAAAATGCCTTCTCTGATGTAAAAGCAAGATCATCAAAGGATTGGACTTAATTAGTAATTTGATAAATGCCTGGGAAAGAATGATGTCCTGAACTTTTCAAGTTTGAGACAGGCCCTAAGATTTTATTGTAAATGCAAACTGACAGACTGCTTTGGCTGAGAAATGAAAGAAAATCAATATTCCAGATGAGATCACTTTGATTAGTGCTGCTCTAAGAAGAGGGGCAGGTTATATCTTCACAGGGATTAACGACATTTTACACCAGGGTGTTTAATGCTGTCTTTCCCTGGGCTATCTCATGCATCCTTGTGACTTCTCCCAAGTGTTGCCGTTTGTAATTCCTGCAGCCACCCGAAGGCTGGTGATGGACTGGTAGGTGATCATTTCTCTGCCACAATGTCCCAGTGAAGTGAAACCAGAGGAAGAGAAATGATTATATTCTGACTTATTCTTGGGAAAAATATCATATCAGCAACCAATTTTACCTTTGGAGTAGACCTTGGCAAAACTTCCAAAGTAATGGGCATTTTATCTGTGAGCCCTGGGAGGATGGGGAAGGAACAGACAGAAAGCAGCACCGTCCTTTAGTTATGGATGTGAACATCTGCTAGTTAGGTGTCTCCAAGGTCCAGAAACTGAGAAGGAAGACGAATAGGTCAAGATCTAAAGAAGAATGATTTGACATAAATACACGACTAATAAAGAAAGAATGTAGTACACTCATTTCAAACTGGTAGGCATAACAACGATTAAAACCATAACCTTTCAATTATAAATGATTTTTTTCTTTCTGTTAAGTACTTGTTACTGTTATTTTGACCTTCCTTTTTTAATTGAGGAAAACTTTGAACTTACATTCTGTTTATGAGTTTTTATAAACTCCTGACCTTATAACGGTAAGCAGCTTCTTTTAAAACCAATGCTTAACTGCTTCAGTGAAATATCAGAGGCACTAAGGTACCTATTTGCCATTAAACAAGGAATAGGCATTAATTGGCTCTTTTAACACTCTTAATTACCTCTGAAACCTCCAGACAGCTCCTCACCAGCCAGCTATGACAGTATTCTCCACAGAAGTGCCTGACATATCTCTCTTCATGTTTATTCTTCACCCAAACTCCAACTTTATCCTTCTCTTTCTATTCCAGTCACTCTACCTACATAATGTCCAAATTGCACCCTTAGCATCCCACTATTGTCGTGTATTAAAAAAATAAATAAATAAATCGCACCTTTACACAGATGATGCCCAAATATGTAAGTCACACCAAGATTCCCTTTCTTTAATCCCTCACAGCCACTTGCCTCTGAACATTCCCCACTGGATAGCCCAGAAAGGATTTATCATATTGAGTCCAAAATAAGTTCTTGTGTGACATCATCTTCCAAAATAATCCCTCTTGAAATCTTGCTATTATCGTTGAATCAGCACAAGGTAAATTTTCATGGCATTTTTTTTTTCTTTCCCAATCACTCTTGCATAAGCCTCCAACTTTTCAGTTACACAGACTCTGCCCATGTGGCGGCTCTTGGTTCTTTCATTAGGACTATTATTACCATAGTCTAACTGGTTTTCCTACCTCCTGAATCTGTCCCTGTGTAAATAATTATCCCTTCTGTTCTCAGATTAATTTTCTTTCTCATCCCTAATAAAGTTCCCACACATAAAACTAAAGCCCAACCTTTGCCACAGGTGTGTGTGTGTGTGTGTGTGTGTGTGTGTGTGTGTATATATATCAGCCTCAGACTTTCCTGCTACTGGAAGGTTTTCTTTCACAATTCCACCCCATCTCCATCCACTGAAATAATGACTATGAAAGTATTGGTCAGAAGGCACTAAATTATGCCATAGGCACAATCTCAAAATAACAGTGGCTTTCAACAAAGGATTATTTCTTGTTTCCAATATCAGTTCTTTTGGAGTTGGCTGGATCTTTCCTCCATGTTGTATTCATTTGAGATACTGAGGCAGGATAGAAGAAATTTTAAAAGAAAGAAAGAAAAAGAGGTTGGAAGGAGACATAAAGAAAGAACAAGGAAATGAAATTCTAACTTCAGGTTCCATATGCCTTTGTAGCTCTGCCACTCCCTAAGCCAGTCTCTTCCAGGTCTGTCACTCCCAAATTTCTGGGAAATATGTAAATCTTAGAGTTAACCAGAAATTTATGATAATTACCTTGTGCAATGTTAATTAAGCCACCAATAAATAGATTAAGCAAGGAGAGATATATTGTAAGAAACCTATAATTTAGGGAACTTTCCAGCATTATCTATCCATCAGTTAATAGAGAACTCATCAGCCTAAGGATCCTGAGAACAACCAGATAACCATAAACTGTTTTGTCATTACCAAACTGATGTCAACTCCACTTACCTTTCCATGTCTACCTCTTGCTGAGTATCCTTTAAAATAGGATCAATGAACACTGAAAATGTGTTTCTTCCTCAAGATAACCTGCATTCTCCCTTGAATGTACATTGCTTTCCCAAATAAGTCTGTCTATGCCTAGGCTGACAGGTGCTGAAATTCTTTTTCTTCATGTACATCAAGTTCCCCACTGATCCTGAGTGGAGATTCCCCGCCTCCACCTGTGAACTCCTAATACATTCTTTCAGTAAGATTGTCTCTGGTGGCAATCCAAGGTGAAGAAGGCCCTCCCTGGAACCTGATGATATTATAAACAAAGAAAAAGAATGATGACTCTGTAAGAGTCCACCTGTATTTTATTGGTCAAAGAAAGTCCAATGGCCAAGCCTGGCATTAGTGGGATTGCCGATGTAATTCTTCCACATGGAAGACCCCAATAGGGAGCATCAGAAAATGTTTGAACAAATAATAAAATCGACCATCATTGAAGGTGCAGCATGACTCTAATATGTTTCCTGTGTTTTGATTAATTTTTCACCCAGGTATCTCAACCTCAGCACTATGCACATTCTGGACAACAGCTGTCTGTGTATTACAGGTTGCTAAGCAGCACCCCTGATCTCTAACCCAACAGGTGCCAATAACTCCACACACATTTACCCAATTGAAACATCAAACAAAAATGGCTCCAGACCTTACAAAATGTTTGCTGGAGTGGCAAAAGCATCTCCAGTTGAAAAAAAAAAAACAACATAAATGAATCAATGAATCCTTAAAGAATAAGAACAACATCTTAGCCTTTACTGTATCTCCATGTTACCAATAATTGTTTAATAATTGTCTAAATGGTTTAATAATTATTATTCAATGGAATACAAATCATAAAACAAAATTTCCTTTACCCAATATCAAGGGTAATATGTATTTCTCAGATCTCTTTTGCAAAATCCATGAATTTAAGTGACAAAGAACTAAGTTTAAATCTTGGCTTCACTGCTTTATAAAAATCGGAGAAAGTTGCTTAACATCATTAAACCTCAGTCTCTTCATCTTCAGAATGGGAACAGTAGCATCTCTCTTGCAGTTTTCTGGTAACAAGTCAACGCGTATTTCTCACTAAATGGTATGTACTCAATAAATGGTAGCAAGCAGCAGCAGTAGCGACACTTTCTCCATCATACATGAAAGATGAGATGTTCAAAAAACTGCCCCTTCGCAAAGAAATGCCAAAAGTTACTCCCAGAAAGAGAGCATTATAGACCCACAAAATATTGCCTGTGTTTGTTTCTCCATAAATAAGACTTGTTGTCAAGAAACTTGAGCTCTGTGGATTTGCCATAAAACACATAAGCTTGGATATGAGCAACAGGTTTTTGTGGCATTTTCCTGGATGTCAGCAGAATCTCACAAATCAGGCAAGCAAAGTGCAAAACATATGCCCTCAGCAACTTGCCAAAAACCAATAAAAGGAGCCACGTCGAGCCAAAATCAAGGAGGCAGGCAGGAGCAGCTTAGGCTGCAAGCATTCATAAATTCACACAAAAATGCACTTCATTTTATTAAGAGCCCGACTAAACAAAACCATTTCAAATTATGAAAAGAACCTTCATATAGCTACCTACCATAGTTGAGAACATCAAAATGACAAATCTCTTCAGCATTCTTTTAATCCAGTCATTTGGAACAGGATATGTTGACAAGTCCCGTGGTTTTGCGGTTAGGAAATGTAACTCAGCATCATCAAGCTGGCCTTTTGTAGGAGACTGGCATATTGCGACATTATCAAGAGACACAGAATTTTATATCCAGGTGCAAAGTACTTCTTCTTTTGTTTTCTGGTGAAGAAGTTCGTGGCAGGGCAACCATGGCAAATTTAAAATACACAAAAGAGAAAGAAAGCATTTCTAAAACACTGAGCTATAAATTCTATTTTCAAATTAACACGATTCACTGTCCAGCAAAATTAAACGGAAAGGATTTGTGGCTTTGTATGTTTGATTTTTTTTTTCTTTTTCTTTTGCTGATTGTTTTTTTAACAACTCCGCGAGACTTTCAAGCTGGTAGAAAGATTTAGACCTCAAAGCCCTGGAGACAAATATGCTTCCCAGCACTAGCAACAACAGTAAAGAGCTTGTGTTTCATTGGAACTCAGATTTCAATCCAAAGACAGTTGTGATTCAGCCTGTTTCTTCAGTGAAGCTGGGGTCAGCCAGCTCAAAAGATTAAGCTTGTTGACCCTGCACATCAACACTCAGAAATCCACTACACCACAGGAGTCTGGATCCCAGGCGATCCCAGGTGGTGTAATGAGATCTCCTCTTGGGCAACACAGGGCTAAGCACCATGCACTATGCACCCATCCCAGGTATCTTCCCACCATCCGGCCCCAAAGGTCCACTCCTTGCAAACAGTGTTGTAGTAACCAAAGGGCTTTTCAGCAACAACACACTCTCAACTCATGCTCTCAGCTCTAAAATGTATTTCCTTCACTTGCAACATTCCTAACCCTGATGTGGAAGTTTGGCTTAATGAGCCCCAAAGGGCAGCTTCTACAGAGCTTACTGAATTCTAATGAGATAATTAAACCAGATAGCAAAAATCTTTATTTATTTGTGCAAATAAAACAAAGATTGGTATTATATTATGTGCAACTAAAATTCTGCAAGCAAGACATTCCCAAACACTGCAAAATAAGTAAGTGAAAGGCTTAGTTCCAAATTCAGGAGTATTTGTTTTGGTCAAGGTTCTGGGGCTATCATACAATATTTTTAAGGACTGAGAGAGAATAAAGGCAGAGATCCTCATTCATGAGTGCAGTTAGTCAATAGATATTTCTTCAGTGCCCACTTAGTGCTAGTCACTATTCTGCACCTCCAATAGTGGTAAGGTACTAGATTGTGATTTAAATATTTGAGATAAACAAGTGATAACAATAATGAATATGTATGTCTATAATTAGACTAAAAATATAAATACGGATGTCAGTCTTTGCTTTTCATGTTTATTTTCCCTAACAGCACCATTCCATCCCAGGTAATCAGCTAGAAACACACATTTTCTTGTTTATTTTACATACCTTCCAACTGGAAATATATACAATGTAGAATAAGAGTTATCTTTCACAAAAGCTTTTTGACATACAGAGCAAAAGAAAAAGCCCATTAATATGGCCATATCTCTTCAGTGTTAAGGCATGTTTTATAAGGAAAAACTGCTTTAAATTAAATAAAAATAATTGGAATTTAGTGTTTTGCTATTTAAGAAGACTTTTAGGGGAAATGGGACAATTTTTCAGTTGTCAAAAATTTTCTTGGAACATTGAGACTTAAAGATTTAAAGAAAATATTTCTTTAAAGGAGGAAATTTGATAAATCCTTTTCTCTTCCATGGGGAAAAATTGTGAAAATTTTGTTCAGAGTTATCCCATTTCTTCTGTACAAATGTTTAAAAGATTGTTTAAATTACCTTATATCTTGTTAATTTTCCCTATTTTCTATCTTCTTTGCCAAATCCTTACCTTTTGTTCTTTTGGGGAAGAAGACTGTCAATATTTTAGATTAGAAAGTAAATTAGACCTAGGTTTTGCCTCTTCCTCCTCTCTTCTTCCTTTATTCCTAATTGATTTCTTTGGGGAATAAATGGATTCTTTCACTATTCCCAGAACAGATTCTTGGCTAGTCAGTGCTAACCAAAGTATCACAGAGGAATGCTGAGTTGCTCTGCACAATAGCAAACACAAGGCAGAAAACTGAAACAATCAGACATCAGGAAACTCCCTGCATCATTATTTCACCTCAACCAATTATTTCAATTACAAAAAAAAAAAAATGAAAGTGTTTACTTTTCACCTGAATAAGGGTTTTTTTTGGGGGGGAGGGGTGGGGGGACCACCAGAGATTGAACTCAGGGGCACTCAATCACTGAGCCACACTCCCAGCCCTCTTTTGTATTTTATTTAGAGACAGGGTCTCATGGAGTTGCTTAGCAACTCGCCTTTGCTGAAGCTGGCTTTGAGTTGGTAATCCTCCTGCCTCAGCCTCCCGGGCCGCAGGGATTACAGGTGTCTGCCACAGCACCCGCCAAGGGGTTTAAATAACAGTTGTAGGGCTGTAGAAACAAAATCTTGATGAACCTACAACTAAACATAAGTCAATCAATATTGATTGGGACATTAACATTACATCAACTCTTTGGGTGTCTTCCATCACAACAGACTGTAAAGAGAACTGGGATGCAAGGACAAATGTGACAAATGTCTACCCTTAGGCCATGCTGCCATGTTTTCCTCTTCCCTACACATGATTGACAATTTCTGAGTTACACACACACACACACACACACACACACACACACACACACACACTCCAAAATGTGCTTTAGTCAAATATCAAGAAAAGAATAGCATGTCATTAAACTTAGTGAAAATTTTTACTGTAGAATTTACCAAAGTACATTTTGAACAGCATGTTAGCCAATGACGGAGGAGAGGGGGAAAATTCACTTTAAAATATATTAACACAATTAGAGCTCAGTTTTATTGAGACCAAAATTCACTCAAATATTGAGTATCCATACCAGAAAGTTCTAAAAGGAAGAACCTGCATCCAATTCTGGGAGTCGGAGCGACTGAGCGCAAGCCTGAGGCAGACAAGAGCTGAAATCCGAGCCGTGCGTCACAGATCCCTGTGCTGATGACAGTCCATGTTAAGTGATATAGGAAGCCAGGTGCAGTCTCAGGGAGAGGAGCTGTCAGCAACAAGACTGGGGAAACCAGGCCGCAACTTACTGCTAGGACTCGGAAATTTCAGGAGGAAAAATGCAAGATGGAGATGAAGGCAAGTGAGGCCAATGACGGTGAATACTGAAGAAGGAAAATGTCACATGAGGTAAATGTCACAAGAGCAGCAAGTGCTGCATTTGTACAGACACCCAGAGATGGAGGTTCCAAGTTACACTTCCCTGAGCAATAAGAACACAGCCTTCAGTTCCTGACAGCCCAGCTCCTCAAATAAGTCAAAGAGCATGCAGGGCTCTATCTGCAATGGCAGACTTTAGTGCAGCTCCACAAGTCCCTATCCTAAACCTCCGAGTCAAGTGTATTTGGATGTTCAGAAGCTTTAGGTATCAAAAATCATGCAATAACTTGTATGTCTCTCAAAAGGAATTACGCTGAGTGAAAAATGCCAATCACAAAAGATTGCGTAATGCATGATTCTATTTATCCAGTGATGTTGAATGATAAAATTGCAGAGATGGAGGACAGATTAGTGGTTGCCAGGGGTTAGAGAGAAGGGCAATGAGGGAGGTGGTTATGTCTATAACAGGAATCCTTGTGATGAAACTACTTTGTATCGCAACCATGGCATTGATTGTAAGAATTGGATCTACCTGTAACAAAATTCCACAGAACTTAATGTACCAAGACAAGCACCCATATAAAACTGGTGAAATTCAAACAAACTAAATGAGTTGTATCAATGTTAGTTTCCTAGCTATAATATTGTACTGTAGTTATGCAAATGTTACCAGTGGGAGAAATTGGGTAAAGGATACCCTGAATCTGTACTATTTCCTACAACTGCTTATGAATCTACAACTCTGTCCCAATATCTATATTTAAAAGGAAATAATCAAAAAACAACAAAGTACATTATTTATATTCTATAGCATTTAGTAGTGCCAAACATAGTAATATTTCTTCAGCAAAACCTATTCAAACAAAGTGAATTACAGGATAGGGCTAGGACTTGGAAATTTGGGGAGGAAAATGCAAGATGGAGATGAAGGCAAGTGAGGCAAATGACAGTGAATTCCGAAGAAGGAAAATGTAACATGAGGTAAATGTCACAAGGGCAGAAAGTGCTGCATTTGTACAGACACCAGAGATGGTCTCCTATCAGCATGGGTCATATATTGTGGCCACATGAATTCAGCAAAACCTAACGGTTTTGCTGCCAAATCAGCCATGAAATCACTTCAGTTTTTCAAAGCTCTTTGGATTGTGGAAGTATAGATGAAGAACTGTAAACACAAGTTCTGCTCTGGCCACCTAGAAGAAGGCACAGGTGGACAGCATTGATGGATCTTACTGATAACTCCTGTTTCTGCATCGTTATTTCATATTAGCTGAAAAATGTCAGTAATTTTATTTTTTTTAGTACAATATTAACATAATTTTTGTACATCCTTTTGAGATGTTATCCAGCAATACCTCGAATGGTCTATGATGGAGAAAGACTGTGGATAGAAAGCCAGTACAGCATGGAACCAGGACACTTCCTTAGTTTCTCCTAGTGTTTCTCCATAGTTCTACTTTGGTGTTGTTTGGAAATTAATTTTCAAGACATTGAAAGTTCTTAAATGTAAAAATAGGGTGTGTATGTACGTACACATACATACGTATATAATCATTATATGTGCATTTATTTAGAATTCACTAGTTGACATTATCTGCTAATTTATATTATATACATCTCTATTTCTTTTCACTAGGATGGAAAATAGAGATTTAATCCTATCTGAAATATTTAATAAAGGTCAAAATGCAGATGCTTCATGAGCATATGAATTTCCAGCCCTAAATGAATCTGAATCCAGGTTGGGTATGGAGGTACACGCCTGCAATCTCAGCTACTCCAGAGGCTTGGATCACCAGTGCAAGGCCAGTCTGGGCAACTTAGTGAGACTCTGCCTTGATTAAAAGGAGTGGTGAGAGGGAAGCTGGTGGTTGTGAAGCCTGGTGGTAGAGGCCCTGGGTTCCATCCCCGTTTCCAGAAAAAAAAGAGATGTACATATCTCTTATACATTGATAATAAATCTGAATCCAAATAATATGGAAGAACACTAATTCATTTACCTTTATTTAAGTCTCAGGAATTATTCTGTACTATTCTCTACACCATAATCAGAATTATCTTATTGAAATATAAAGGAAATTACATCCCTCTCTTTTGATCTCCTTAGTTCCTATAGACAAGCATCCAAGTTGCCCAAGGAAAAGATGTCCTCAATGGCCTGATATTATAGTTTGTATATGAGGTGTCCCCCAAAAGCTCATGAGTGAAATAATTCAAGAAGGTTCAGAGGAGAAATGCTTGGGTTATGAAAGTCTTACCCAATCAGCAAGTTATTCCCCTGACAGAATTAACTGAATGGTAACAGAAGGTGGGTAGGGTGTGGCTAGAGGAGGTGGGTCCCTGGGGCTGGGCCTTTGGAATATATATTTTGTATCTAGCAGGTGGAGTCTCTCTTTGTGTCTGCTTTCTGACCATCATGTGAGCTTCTTGCTTCCACCACACTCTTCCACCATGATGGTCAGCCTCACCCTGAGCCCCAAGAAATGGAACTGGCTGTCTATGGACTGAGACCTCTGAAACTGTGAGCTCTCAAATAAACTTTTACTCCTCTACAATTGTTCTGCTTGGGTCTTTCAGTTATAGCAGTGAAAAAGCAGACAAAAACACCTGGCCACAGTCACATTTCTCTCCATCTTGCCCATTCTGGAGTATGCCCTTGACACATTAATTACTTCCGGTTTTCTAAATTGGTTATGCTCTCTCACTTTCCTGCTTTTGTACATGTTATTCCTGTGGCAGGGAACACCACCTTCTTCCTGGCCAACTCCTATTATCCTGTAAGGTGCCATTTTCTTCTAGAAGTTCTGAGAACCCCTCACCTCTCTTTCCAACTTGATCTGGACTAGACTTATCCAAGCACTTCAGGCCACCTTATGCTCTCTGCACCTTACTGTGGAGTACTGAGTTTTTCTCCATCCCCAAAGCTCAGCACTGCCAACAACAGAGGAGCTAATCAATCCATAAACAATATTTACTTGATTAATGGCTAAACAAATGATTGAATATATATATCACTCAAAAATTCAAATAAAATATCATGTAGCTTATTAGCTGTAAGTTTAGCAAATTATTTAATCTTTGTATGACTCAAGTTTCTTCATCTCTAGAATGAGGATAACAGTGCTTACTCTGGTACATGGACTAAATCTGCTGGCACATATAAAACAGTTATAACTAGGCTAAATGCATAGAGAGCACTCTACAAATATGAGAGGAACAACGTGCAGAACTTTAAAAAATACTTTCTATTCAATAAGCCACAAAAGGATTTTAAGCAACAAAATAATAAATTCAGATTTGCTTCGAGAAGACAGTTCTGTTGGCAGTATTAGGGAAGATGCAAATCAAAGGCATAGGCCATAGTTGGGAAGCTGTTGCAGCAACCTGGAGAGGTTTAATAAGCCTTGAGCAAGACCCAGTGACCAATTGGATGGGGAGAATTGTCAAGGGGAAGAAGTTAAAGATGAATTCAGAATCTTGAATTTTCAGGAAAATGGATAGAGCTAGAGACCACCGTGTTAATCCAAATAAGTCAAACTCAGAGGGTGCAAGGTTTTCTCTCATATGCAGACACTAGAGAGAAAAAGTGTGGATCTCCTAAAACTCAAAGGGAAATCAGTAGAGGAAAGGGACCAAAGCATAGGAGGCAAGGAGGGAGGGGGAATTGGAGTGATATTGGACAAATTATATATTGCATGTATGGTTCAGATGTATATCTACAAATCCCATCAATATGTGTAACTATAATATACCAATAAAAAAATGAGAAAATAAATAAATAGAAATCAGAGCCTTAGTGATGGGTAAAGATAAAATGAGAAAACAGAAAATGTTAAAGTTTAATTGAGGATATCATTTTGAGGCCTTCAGAAAATTCACATGAAGATGTCTCATACTGAATCTTTATGAATTGATATAGAATAATATGTAAATTAATAAGTAGAAAATGGTGTCCCTAGATAGTTGTAAATGAGGGTCTGGTGGTGATAGGAAGATTGGGACTAGAGTTCAAACAGGGAATAATTCAACCTGTTGGGAGTTCATCCTTGAGCCCAAGAAGAGTCCAGTCTACTAAAGGTGAGCAGATAGAACTGGAGAAAACCAACAGGGTTATCAAGTTCCTGGTGAAAATCTGCCCATGGTCTTTTCTCTCCCAACCTAGTCATGTGAACTTAGAGGGCTTACCAGATAATATCTGGGCAGATTCCACACAGATCTCTTAGAAATCAATGTGCAGCTCTTTGGCAATGTTTAGTGGGTTTGCACTTATGATAATATGAATCATATGGGACCTTAATATCAAACTCCCAGAGCAAGAAAAGTCAAGAGGACATTCTCCAACATTGACATTGTCAAGTCTGGGAAAGGCCACAAAGAACCTCTATGACATTCTCTTTAGGGTGGTTCAAATTCAATTGAAATCACAATTGTCAGATTCAAGGACAGAGTTGAAAGGAAGAAGAAAGAAAAGAAGGAAGGAAGAGAATGAAAGAAAGAAGGAGGTAACATAGGAAAAAAGGAAGGAAAGAAAAAAGAAAAGTCCAGTTCCTAAACGACTCCTAAAGTTAACAGAAAAATTCTCAGGACACAGAAATTGTTCTTTATAAAGAAGATGCTTCTTAGATTCCATTTATGATTTACTAAGAGGTACTCATAGAAAAAGAAGTGGAACAAAAGAAATGAGGGTGCAAGATTTTCATATGTAAAACAAAGGAAAAAATAAATTACTTGAAACAGTGAAAAGAATTGTGTAATTGTGTCTCTTGCTTGAATTAAATTTCAAAAAATATCTTAATTTGCCCTTCATCTGTGTCCCACAAAGCATAAAGACCCAGCTCTCTGTTCAACTGGGTAAATGATAAAGCAGGTGTCTTCTCCTGTTTGTGAACTACCTCAGGCCTTTTTTCTGTTGGATGTTGGACCTTATATGGTCCATTGATACTTTGAATCAATGCTAGGTAGAAAGAAGTAAATGTTATTACATATGTAGAATTAACAAGAGACAGAGAAAATGACTGACAGGAGTTAGGAAGCCAAGAGAGGTAGCACTCACCTGTAATCCCAGCTACACAGGTGGCTGAAGCAGGAAGATCACAAGTTTGAGGCCAACCTGGACAACTTAGTGAGACCCTGTCTCAAATT